CTACACTAGAGATACATTTCTCTCTCTTTATACGATTAACACGAGCCGTTAACGTTGGGCGCCAATTAACTTCCCTGCGTGGGAAGTTTGAAAAAAAAAAAAAATGTTTTTCCGTTCCGCTACGCCCGGTAGAAATGAAACACAACGTGTTGGTTTGAGTCGGTACTCCGGTGCTCGCTGATCACCTTCTGAATGTCTTCTGAATACCTTCTGATCTTTATTAGTCAATTCACTTATATTTATATTCTTACAATTCTATATGCTTATTGCTAAAGATGCTTTGGCATTACATTAAGTGATGAAATGCCAGAGCATTAAATTTCTAATTATACTCATTATCAAAACAAATAATGGAATATTGAATTATGCTTACTTATCAAAACAAATGATATATTAATTTCTTATTAATTAAAGTATTCTGAAGACAAAATTTGTTTACATTTGTCGTAAAGTGTCTGTGTGGCTGCTGCCGTTAACTTGCATGCGTATTGCATATTAATGCATATGTGCCTCATATACATATGTACATATGTGTGTTGCATATAAATGGATATATTTTTATGTTTTTATTTATGTATGTATGTACGTATGTTCAATATATTTGGAAACAGATATTTAATATTAGTGGACTGTATATGTGTTTATAATAAGTATTAAATGGTACCCCTTTGCACCAACGCTCATATTCATTTTTAAACACTGATTTTAATAAAATATTAGGAATATTTTGAAGTTAATTTCCTTGCAGGATCTAGCGCAAATCCATTTAGGGTTGATTGAACTGATTCCTTTTGAAATTGAATCTGAACAGGAAGGCAATAGCGGGTGGACGAAGGTCTAGAGATTTTCCAAATTTGTTTGTGCTCAACATCATTTTGTGAGTTTATTATTAGTTGTAGAGGGACATACATACATACATATGTCGTAACAAATAAATTATTGCCTTCCAAATTATTATTTTCAAATGCCTGCTTATTTATATTCGCCCTGAACAGAAAAACTGCCAAAAAAATCCACCTTTTTATAATAAATTAATAATAGGCAATGAGAGGGTTCATTAATTACATTCGTGACGCATTGCGATCCAATAATTTTTTTCGATCCAATATTACTTCACACATTTCTAAACACCACAATTCAAAAATATGTAGGCGTGAAAATTCACATTGATATTACGTGCCTGAATAAAAGTACGTATAAAACAAATATATCATAAAAGTGAGAAATAAAAACCAAACCTGAAATAAATATGACGAAACAATATGATATACTATAATATAAACAAAATTGACTCATTTGTGGGCGAGGCAGGGATCACAACTTTTTTATACCTTAGTAGAAGATAAGCTTTGTCCAAGTCTCCAAGGCTCCTTTCCGTACATCTCWCACCCAAAACCTTATAGAGAGTTGTCAATCGTTCATTAACTTTAGTTCATAACGTAATTTTTGGTTCTGACGCCAATACATTCAATCTCGGCTAGTTCAGATATTTATCATAAAGGTAATGAAATTTCCACTATTCAAATTTATTGTTGACTGCTGCGACTTCTGGTATGAAAAAGTCCCGACTTTAATTATTTTCTAACAATATATATTTTAGTGAAAACGAGAAGGATAGAGTTTTCCTATTTTTTGCATATAATACTGGCATTACAACCGAATCACTGCAAATTTTAAAATAACCAGGAGAGCAATGGATATAGCAAGAGAGAACCACGCTCCTTAGTATTTATTTTAGACAGGAAGCTTTTATGAAACCAAACTTGGACGCTAGGGTAAAGAAAGTAGCTCCATCACGATGGGAGCAGAAAGTGTTTAAGTAGGGGTTAGCTCATTAGCTCTGCGCAGCAGTGGTAAGACCGATTATAACTTACGGTATATTTTTTTGGTGTCCAATAGCGGAAAATAAATACGATCTAAGACATAGCAAAGAGCAGCTAATATTTGCCTTAGCGAGCTCTAGGAACAACACCAAGCCAGTTATTATACGTAATCTTACACTTACTACCAACAGACTTTTTTTGTAAACAAATGACAGCGAGTTAGCTCTTAGACTAAGGGAATACTATTAGTCGCAAGGGTAAACACCTATAATGATGTGTCCAAACTAGATAAGGAAAACTATATGCCAAATCGTTTTCTCTTTACCAGACCTCTGTAGTGTTTTCTCAGCGGCAATCGCTGTAATTAAAGAAATACTTGTGTGTTCCCATAGAAGAATATATCAACAAAGCACCCGAAAATTGTAATTAAATTAACCAGGTTAATGATATATTTCCAAAAAAAAAAAAAAAAATATTTTGCTAAGGACTACTATGCCAAACAGGAGAGCGATCTTCCAACCAGTTTATTTACAACACTTGTTTAAGTCGGTACACTTCAGTAATGGGAAGCGATTTTTACAATGGATAAAAATATCGAACAAAGGATTTGTCTACAATTTTTTATATSTAACCAAATTTCGGGTACGGAATCATTGCGAATGATGGAAAAAGACTTCGGTTATTCAACTTTATCAAAAACACAACCTTACGAGTGGTACAAAGCCTTCAAAGATGACCGAGATATCGTTGAAGACATATCTCGTTCTGGAAGACCTCTTCAACTGCTGAAAATATTAAAAAAGTTAAGGATATGGTGCTTGAAAATTGTCAGGTAAACTTTAGAGAGCTTGACATCGCTCGCGAATCCGTTCGGATGATTTTGGTGGAAATTTTGGGTATGAAAAGCGTTCATGCTAAAGCCTGGTGATAGAGTACGATYGTCACCGAATTCAAAAGCAAAAACGTAATAAATAYCATCGATCAAYMATCGTATTCACCAGATTTGGTTCCGTGTAATTTTTTATTTTTCCTCAAAGTGGAATTGCCGCTCCGGGCAGAGTTTTTAGTTTTCAGTCAACCGAAAACACAAATCAAAATTCACTGAATGAGCTGATGGTCATCCCAAACAGTACTTATGAAAAGTGTTTCGAGGAATAAAAAAATCGCTGGCATAAAATATTACATCAGGTGGGTTTTACTTTGAAGGCAACAAAATAAATATTGATGAACAATTAAATATTTTGCGTTTTATTTATAATTTCCGGGTACTTTTTTGCCACAATTTATGTACATATAGTGCCACAATTTATGTACATATAGTACAGTCATTATAGTAAGTTCACCTCGGAATTCGATACACCCAGCTGCAAGTCTGTAAATATTGTATATTGACACCCTAAAAGTTGTCTCAGAACCTACATATCTACCACCCTATCAATCAATATTGTATATTGTCAATATGCAATATTTACAGACTTATAGCTGGGTATCTCGAATTCCGAGATTCTTACCTAATTTAAGCTTAAATGACTGGACTATGAAATCATAAAAGTCGTTTAGGGTGTCGAAAAGGTATTAAATGGGTTCTCGGAAATTGTGATATCCATCGTAACTGAGCTACCGAGAACAGGCACCACCCAACATCTAGTACTTGAGAAAGGGGAAATTTATACGACTCTGGCTACTTGCAGATATTTAATCGACAAGCATGTTATAAACAAAGTTGAGTGTCGATCGAATTAGTTTCTGACTCGCTCAAGCAGGAAAATGTGCATGAATGGAATTTGGACTGCACCCGTGGACTAATAAAAATTAAAAGGTATGATATAAGAACACTGGTGGGAGTATTAACAGATCTTATTTCATTGGCAGATGTGCCAAGACTGTCATACAAATTCTTTGCAATATAATGAGGTTGCATATATAAAGGTTCTCGAACTGATGGACTTCATCAGAAGCAAAGCGGCATGGTTCAGAAAGGAACCAATATAATGAAGTTACTTTTGTCCGGTGATCGCAATGCGCCTCTTAAAGGCCTATCGCCTAAACACGATTTTGCAAGCAATCCTTTCATCAATTGAGCTTTATAATTTTTGAGTACGGTAGATTTTCATAAATTTCAGTGTGCCTTTCTAGATTCCAGAGCATTGAAAAGAGTTAGGCAATGGAATTTCAATTCACGGATGTACGCTAACAAGAATTTTCTTTAGTCCAATATCGTTTAAGAGCGTCATTCTGTGTAGCGGACATTTCTTTAGTTTTTTTTTTTTTTTAATTTTCAATAGGGAAATGAAAAAACACACAACTTCCAAATTTTTACTAAATATATATTTATTAAGATTTATCTGATAAGTTGTAATTTGG